CGGCTTGTAGCCAACCCAGGGAACAACGGGCATGATCAATGCGTCCATCTCGGCCTCTTGCCAGCGGCGCAGGTATTCCGTCTCATATTCGTACCTGTCGGCGAGCAGCTGTACGCACACCATCAGCAGCTGAATCCAGTCTTGGTCAAGGAGAACACATCCTCTCAACATACCTCATGTGTCTGCGCCGTCGTCAACAGGTTCTCCGGCTTTCCAACAAGCATGCCTTCGATTAATGGCTCGCCTGACATGTCGCATAGTTTCTTGCACGCTAGTCCGCCGTCTGAGAGAATGGCTTTCTCCCAAAGGTCGTACGCACGTACGTGGGATGAGGCATCCCATTCGATCACTTCACTATCGTCAGTTTAAGGATTGCTCGAACAAACCAGGGAAACGCACCTTCGTGACCGGCAGCTTTCAGCGCAGCAATTGTCTCCTGCATGGCGCGCTCTACTGGCGGCTGCGTCTTCACGACACCGTCGTCAATGATGTAGCCGATACGCAGCCTCTTGGTCGACGGGATCACGCAGCATTCTGAACGCCAAGGAATAGGCGCGACCTGGGAGTCGACCTTCCACGGTTCGCCCTCTTGGAAGGCCTTCATGTAAGTCTCGATGCCGGAGAGGGTGCTTGCAAGAGGACCTGCGACGGGACGGACGATGTGTTGGCGGGGGCTGTTTAAGGCATGTCAATTGATGTACCGATACGAAAAAGACCATGGGCCTTACCCTCCGCGCTCGTATGTGTGCCTCGACAGAGTCGGAGAGAGTCCGTATAAGCCCGTCAGCGCCGCTGGGATTCTAATGGACCCGCCAATGTCCGTGCCGACGCCGAGGATGCTGCCGCGCGCCGAGATGAGTGACGACTCGCCGCCGCTGCTACCGCCGGAGATGAGGTTACGGTTGAGGGCGCCGACACACTGGCCCCAAACGTGGTTGTACGAGTCGGACATCATCATGGACTGCGGCACGTTGGTCTTGACGTAGAATACGGCACCCAGTCTTCGCAGCACTTGCGCCGTGTTGGAGTCTCTGGCGGCCGGCTTGCCGACGAGCCCGACCCAGCCTGTGATGCCGTTCAGCTTAATGTGCGTTTGTCTTCGAGCCGCCAGCTCTCGGGGCACTTACCGACGGTCGAGTCCTTGCCCTTGATGTCGAGACAGTCCTTAATGCTGACGGGCAGTCCGTGCAGCGGACCAACAGTCTTTCCTGTGCGTGCCAGCACATCATCCAACCTCTGAGCTTCGGCAAAGGCTTCGTCGAAGAGGATCTCAGTGCAACATGTCGTGAGCTGGTGGGCGATGGCAGCGCGCTTGGCAAAGGCCCGCACGACTTGTAGGGATGATAGCTCCCCGCGCGCCAGCTTGTGCAACAGCACGGCAGCGTCGCAGGTTTCTGTGATGTGTAGCTCCTCGGTCGTTAGAAGACCGTGTGAGCGGATGTAAGCCAGGGCCGAGGGGGCCGAGGATACAGAGGGGATCGAGGCGAGGCGCCATTCGGCGGGGATCTGGGCGAGTTGGTGTGCACGCTTGGCTGCAGCGCGGTCGAGGTAGGTTTCCGGCGCAGGGTCCGACGTTTGCTGTAATTGCATCATGGTGTTTTTCCTATCTTTTTTGGTAATCGACAAGTCCTGAGTGTTCAACAGTGCTTTTCTCGCGAAGGGAATGTGGCTTGCGTGGAGCTTATAAGTCGCGGAAGAAGACGTGACGTGACCGACGAGCTTCCTAGTCTGGATCGCCTGCCTTAGCTCAAAATATAATAAGGCAAGATATCTTCGCAAGACGGTACAATGGCTGGGTAGGGTACCGCAAAGGGAATAAACGCATGTCCACCTTCAGTCAAACCGATGTCGGAAACCTATCATGCTCATGGCGGAACTGATAACGTCGAGCCTCCGCTCTCCCCCCCCCCCCCCCCCCCCCTCCGGATCTCCAAGCCGCGGGGAGGGGAGGGGGGGGGGACTTTAGGGGCAGTCAATGACGCGGAAATATGCCACGGGCCCCTTGACTCGCGGGGGTGTTGAGGGAGGGGAATGATTCCTTTCCTAAAGAGGAAGCTAATCTACATTCCTCGGTCTCCCACTACCACCCAACACACCCTTTTGGCACGTTCTTGCACATCATTACAGCAGGCCTATTGCTCGCCAGTGTGCCTCACACCTCGTCTCGGCGTCTGGGTACCGCGGGAACTCGGCAGCGCGACAGTTTTTCCAGTAACGCCGCACGATATCGCACTGCTCACGTCTCATCACCCTCATGCCTGCGAGGAAGACCGCGACTGCGAGATGCAGATAGTATCTCGACGACACCGGCATCATCTCCATAACGTGACAAAGTCGATCCACAGCTTTCGCCATCGCTGTCTCCATTCCCGGCGGCGGCAACCTCGTCTCGACGTCTTCAAGTCGCCCAAGCACCGCAATCGCCGCCGCGCACCGATAGGCATCCGCTGTTCTCGCAACGTCCGTATCACACCCCTCGAGTTGCAAGAGTGAGTCCATGACCAAAAGACAACTACCCATGGGGTCAGCGTCGACGCCTCCCACGGCGACATGAGTAAAAACATGGAACGTGGACGCCGGACACCCGACAATGTCAAAGAAGCCACCAGCATTCAGCGTCTCACGGTGCCAGTCCTCGAATATTAACCCCGTCGTGCCCCGGATGATGGCACCCATGACATCAAACCACAGAAGGTGCGACACCATCTCTGACAGGCCTGTGACGTCCCGTGCCAGCACCTCAAGCTCGCCCGTCGTCCGACAGTGGAGGTCGAGCAGCGACCTCGCGCCGTAGAGATGACGCTGCCACTCGCCAAAGGCTCCCTCACAGACCTCAAAAAAAGCAAAGGCCGCGATGCCAACGAATGCCACGGGATTCGCTGTCTCGAGCGCCTCGCTGAGATCCATGAGGGCAGCGATGTAGTCGAGCGGCCCAGCCGCTCTGCTTGGCGTCGCCTGCATCGGCGCCGCCCCCATGCGGGCCTGCACAAGGTCGTTGATGCGTGAGACGAGCCGTGTCGTTGTAGCTTCTGACAGCTGCCGCCGCGCACCGCCGCTGCCCTCGAGCGCCTCGATGTGCCGGCAGAATGAGGAGAGTCGCTTGATGAGGCTGTAGTGATCTGGCCCCGCTGTACTCTGCTTCTCCCCATGGACCGGACCTACGTGTTTACCTGCCGTTCGGTCGGCGATCACGGCAACAACAGCCGGGCGTGCCGCCGGCGTTCGGCTGGTGACTGTTCGGGTGTCCGATTTCCTACGTTTCGGCTTCGTGGATGCAGCGATGCTGGTTGGCGATGTCTTGTCCGCCCAGACGACGCGCTGCGGATACCCACCACAGGGCAATTCCGAGGCGACACAGGGCTGGCATCTGGGTCGATTGAGGTCACATTTGATGCCCCTCGTCTTGCAGGCACGACAATCGCGGTCCCGCCGCATGCCTCGTGGCTTTCCGCGGGGCTTTGATTCTTCCATTTCCGCCGCGACTTCTCGTAAAAGTGCCTGATCATGCAAGTGCTTCTGAAAATGGTCCGAAAATGGATGTATGACTTGACGTGATGGGGTGAGGCTCGCTCGTAGGTAGGTTGCTTGTTTGGGAAGAAGGCAGATGGGCTCAATGTGCCCACGGATCAGGGGCTGGCCGTGCATTTAGGCCTTCGGATAGACCCCCGAGGCTCGTTGGATCCCAGACTGCGGGGAACTTGATTGCTTGCCGGATGCAGCAAGTGATCATGTCGTCCGCCGTGGGAGCCGCGGTAGGTCACCCAGACCCGTATTTGGTCGGGCATTTTCCACGCTATTGACATGAGTCGGCGCCCTATCGCCAGCCGTTTATCCTTCTGGCGATGGGGCGATCTGCACACGTGTGCAGCACGTCGCCGACATGGTTTCGTTATCTCTGCAAGAACACGATATGGACCCAAAGAAGTAACAATTACGACCTGTGTATCAGCCATACCCTATGACGACGCCCGTATCCTGACAAGACAGAGGTCAACGCGTTGCAGATGGACAAGGTCAGAGGAGCCAGGCACCTGTCAGACAGCATTGAGACGACGAACCCCTGTTACCTCTGAAAGCCAAGCTTGGAAACCACGGTTGCATTTTGGGTTCATTTTTACATAATAGCACCTGGCTTCAGTGGACGTTTTCCCAATAATCCGTCTCATCTTGCATCTTTGAACGCGGGGAAATCGATACCCTGTCTGTCCCCCACGGGGTAGCACGAGGCCAACATGAAGGAATGGTAGCCTTGAGCCGGGTTCGTAGTTGCAGTCAAGTATCGTCATAACGGATAATTCACAGCCTGACACGACTTGGCTGAGTTGCACATGCTCCTGTGAGCGGAATGAGGATCTGAGTTACAGTGGTTATGCGTAGTCGGTGAGACGTCGTAATCAGGCGGCTCAGATACGGGATAGCGAACAGAAGATAAATCGCCAACTGCTATATTAACTCGTCAAAGGACAGCAATCTACAACTCGAGATAACGAAATATCTTGGCCTTTACTTTGGCCTCCCAACTCGAGCCGGCCGCACAAAACAGCGGGCATCTGGCCGACAGGATCATGAATCGCGGACGCCCATCCTCTCCGCTCTCGGCCGACCGATGAAAGCCTTCCCAACGGGGAAACCGATCTTCAAAAACCCCGTCATGATCACTACCGACATCCTGGCACACGACCCGTGCCTACCGCAGCCCACCTCCACGTTATCTGCCCCACGAACGGCTTCGACAGCCTTGAGACCGCGTCCCTTTTGTGCACAGCACTTGCTATGCACTGTTGCGTTCATGTTGATGAGGCCATAAATACGACAATCCTTCGCCTCAACCAAGGTCCGCTCCCGTGTTACCACCGACTGTGTCTTGTTTGCTCCACTCCTCCCCCACAAAGAGCGGTGGCCGACTCAATTCTTGAAAAATTTCCCATCGCCCGGTTCCCCAGACGAAGCACGTTCGAGCCTCCTTGAGTCACGACTAGTCTACTGTCCTGTAGCCCGACATGCACCACGCCGACGACATGGCTGCCAAGGACCCCATGGCCTTCGAGCAGGCCTCCGCAAAGGAGGATGGCATCACCGGCCAAGTCGAGGATCCTCTCACTCACGCTGCCTACCGCAAATTGGTGCACAAGATTGATCGAAGGTTGATCACGACATGCGGCTTCATGTACTGTGTCAGTCTTGTCGACCGGACGAATCTCGGCTCAGCGAACATTGCCGGCATGTCGAAGGACCTGGAGCTGACCGTTGGCTACCGCTACGTAGGTTGATCGCCGTCCGATCTTTTCACGACAGATACTGACAGCGGCAGTCACTTATTGCTCTCGTATTCTTTATTACGTTCACGTTGTTCCAGCTTCCGGCCACGGTCGCCTGTCGAAAGATCGGTGCCAAGCTCTTCCTGCCTGGCATCACGCTGGCATGGGGCTTTCTGCTGGTATGGCATGTTTTGGCACTTGACTTCTAAGATGCGTTGATGGCTAACAAGACGGCTAGGTCGGCTTCGGGTTCCCTCAGAATTGGCAGACAATGGTTGGACTTCGTATCATCCTCGGCTTGCTCGAAGCTGGGTTCCTTCCTGCCTGTCTCTTTCTCATCTCGACCTGGTATACACGATACGATCTGCAGAAGCGCATCTCATGCTTCTATATGATCGGCTTCTTTTCGTCGGGCATGGGTGGCATTTTGGCCTATGGCTTGATGCAGATGGTGAGTTGACGCGAAGCTACAAGTGCAAAGCAGAACTGACGTCTTCAGGATGGACTCGGCGGTCTTGAAGGCTGGAGATGGATCTTCCTGATGGAGGGCCTTGTGAGTATCATTCTCGCCCTTCATGTGTAGAGCGCACAGCTAATCAATCCAGATCACTGTTGTCGTTGCCACCATCTGCTATTTCACCATTGTCGACTTTCCCGATCGCGCCCACAACAAGTCAAAGTTCCTGACCAAGGAAGAGTGCGAGATTGTCATGGACAAAATCAACGCCGATCGCAGTGACGCCGACGAAGAGGCGTGGGACTTCCGCAAGCTGATTGCGTCCGGAAAAGATCCTCTCATTTATGGCTACGCCCTAATCTTCTTGTAAGGCCCCCCGCCTTTGACTTCCTACCACGCAGAGTACTGACAGAATGGTGCTCAGCGGCCTAACTGCCATCACCTACGCCGTGGCGTACTTCCTCCCCATGATCCTCCGCGACCAGATGGGCTTCTCTCTCGCTGCGTCCCAGTGCCTCATCGCGCCTCCCTACTTTGTGGCCTGTCTGTACATGTTTGCCACGGCCTGGATCAGCGACAAGTACCGCATCCGCGGCCCGGTCATGATGTTCAACTCGGTTGTCGGCATTGCTGGTTTGGCCTTGATGGTAGGTCTGCTTCGGGTCATGCGCGTTTGATGGCAAGACTAACATTTACAGGGCTTCGCGTCCAACAGCGGCGCCGCCTACTTTGGCGTCTTCCTCATCTGCTGCGGCTTCAACACCAACATTCCCGCTTGCATGACCTACCAGGTACGTCTCAACTCCCAGGACTGGTTCTTTCAGGGGGTACTCATCGTTCTCAGTCCAACAATATCCGCGGCCAGTGGAAGCGTGCCTTTTGCTCCGCGACCCTCATCGGCTCGGGCGGTGTCGGCGGTGTCGCGGGTTCCCTCATGTTCCGCAGCCAAGACGCGCCCGGGTACCGTCCCGGTATCATTGGGTCGATTGCCTGTGGCTTCTTGGTGTTGTTCGTCATCTTCTTCAACACGTGGTACTTTAAGCGGGAAAACGCCAAGGCAGATAGGGGAGAGAAAGTCCTGCAGGGGCACCCTGACTTTAGGTATACCGTTTGAGAGGCGACCCAGCGTTTTGGATGATACTTTCTACTTATGCAATTTCTGTTCAACTTTTTTCATCCTTGACTCAAGGCGAGAGAAGGCGGGAGAAGGCGGAGACACTGTCTCGTTTCTTTGCCTTGATAGCCACGTTTGATGGGCATGATTCGAGATTCGATTTGTGTGTGAATGCCCTAACTCGCAGTATTGGATGAACCAGTTGATTCCCTACACCATAGCATGAAACGAGGCCGGGTCAGATGCTTGACAAGGCTGGTAAGCCAAAGCCTAGTAACACCCTCCCTCGTGCGGCCTCTCATACCTCGGCCTCTCCCTCCCATCCGGCCCCGCCTCAAGACAATCCAGATACAGAATCTTGCCCTCCTCCCACCAGACCCTCAGATCAGCGCCCTCCTGCCCCCAATCGATCGACTGGCCATTCACGCTGAGATAGGACTTGGCCTCCCCCTCCGTCGTCCAGGTACTCTTCTTCGGCCGCCACACCTCAACCGCCCCGTCCCCCTCCATGCCAACCTCGGCCCCGTCAACAGCCACGACCTCCCCCTGGCCTTTGAACGAAAAGCACCGCACGCCGCACGTCCGGCAGAAGAAGAAGGAGGTGTGGGCCTCGCCCGGCCCGCACGGCTGGTACGCGCCCAGCGCGCCGAGGTCCCGCGGCGCGAGCAGCGCAAAGTCGTCGGGTGGCGACGCGGGCCGCACGTGCAGCAGCCCGGCCTTGTGGCAGACGGTGCAGTTGCAGCGGTAGACGCACGGTTTGTCGGCCGGGGAGCTGCGCTGCGCGGGCGTCACAGGGTGGGCGGTCAGGGGGAGGGCGAGGCGAAGGACGTAGCGGGTTGCGCGGCAGTGGCAGGAGCCTGTGAGGGTTGTGAGGATGGGTTGGGCTGTCGGGGCAGACATTTTCTTTTTTTTTCTCCTTTCTTTTTTGCTTGTCTTTGAGGGTTTTTTGTGCTTGTATGTCGTTGGTAGGGAGTCTTTGGGTGGGAATGGCGATGCTTTGCTTGTACCGACAGATGTTTCCGCACGATGGTGGAAGAATCAGGTTGCGCGCAACGAGAAGAGACTTGGAGGCGTAATCCAGATAGCCAAGCCACGCAGTCAATCCCGCAAATCAAGTGAGCAAATCGTCGTAAAAGCCTGCGAATTGTCTCCGAGAGGGCATTCCGATGCGGGGATGACAGCCTGGGAAACCTGAAAGATGAGAAACATCGGTCGAGATATACAGCTCAGCGCGCCCTTCCCATGACGACGGCGCTCACTCCTCTTTAGTCACACCACTGCAGGCGGCGCACCTTTCTCTGGCCCATGTCTTACACACAGCGTCTGCCTGAACTAGCGGTCCATCATCGATGATCGCACGTGGATCGCAGTATGGGGATGGTCAGCAAGCGTCGATCCGCTCCACGTCTGTTGGAATGTGGTGCAACTCCAAATTCCTGCCCTTGGATCAGCCCGGCCTGCCAGCCCTACGGCCCCAGAATCTGGGAAACGCCCTACTTCTTTGTTGTCGGCAATTGTTGCCGAGGCACGCACTGCTCCGTGCGGCGTCATGTAGCATTCCAGACGTGACCATCACGGCGGGGGCGGGGGGGGGACTGACGTCGGCACCTTTCATTATTACAGTATCCAATACAGCACCGTCATGATGGACATGATTATAAAAACAAAAAAGTAAACTCGCTTTCATCTCCTCTCATGCATCCGGTCCGGGCCTCCGTCCCATGCATCCAATGCAATCGCTTATCAATCCAAGAAGACGTCCTTTTCCCACTCGGCCGGACACAGGTCATCCCACGTCAGGCTCTTGCCCGTATCCGTGTCGACGCCGCCGACACGCTTGCGCTCACTCTCGTCCTTCGCCTGCGCACGCCGCGCGTCGAACAGCTGCCGTGCATGGCCTGTCCACCACATGGAGGGCCACAGGGTGTCGATGGGCTTCTTGTTGACCCAGTTGTGGTGTGCGACAACGGGGATGACGCCGTTGCAGACCTCGCTGTAGAGCGGTAGCTGTTCCCAGCGGGGGCGGCCCTGTTCGGCAAAGAGTTCGAGACCGCCAGCGTTGTCGACGAGGTCGCTCGGCATGGGCGCGCGGGGGCTGCAAATAATCTTCTGTCCGTGGGCAGGCTTGTCCACCTGTGGGCCGAGAGGGGCGCTGTGGTTGACAAACGTCGTGTCATGGAGGGCGTTGGATGTCTGGTGCGAGACCTCAGAGAAGTGGTCCACCATGATGCCGAACTCGTAGCGCTGATCGGCGTGGTAGTCCGGATCGCTCATGAGCTGGTGATCAAACGAGGGGTTGAGAGGGTCGTCGATGAGGAGCGTCTCAATCTTGTGTGGCCTGCGAGGGGCACCGGGGCGCGTAGGCACCATGCCGTCGAGGAAGCGGTCCCAGGCGTTGCGGTGGTGGCGGCGCATGACCTCGCGGTGGTATTCCTGTTGGCCGAACATCTCGTTGAAGAAGCTCTGGTCTGAGCCCTTGTGGCACTTGGGGAGATAGTACTTGTCGCCCTTTTGGTCGCCCTCGAGGCACTTGGCCATGTTGCGGTTGGCGCGCTGGAAGATGCGGCGCATGTCTTTGACTGGGCCAATGATAAAGCCCGACACGAGGTGGCGGGTGCGCAGGCCAGCCCACTGGGAAGGACCGTCCATGGTATCGGTGACGGCACCGTAGATATCGTTGGGCAGAGGCGACTCGGGGACAGGGTAGCAAGCGACGCTGCGGATCTCGTTGGGTCCGCAGCGTTTGCTGGCCGAGAAGATGACCTTGGACGAGATCTTCTCACGGGTGAAAGCCTTGCCCATGCGCTGGGCAATGCGCTTGTCTTCGGCGGCGCGGAGCGCGTGGTAGCGGGCGACGAGAGTCTCGGGGGGCAGCTGGAACCAGACATCGTAGGCATCAATCATGATGACGAGATCGTCGTCGTACTTCTTGTTCTTGGGGTCCTCGAGCCATTTCAGGGTGCCGGAGATCTTGGCGAGATGCGATCCCTTGCCGAGATATCTATCATCGTCGAACTTCTGATCCCACATGACGACGGTCGGGCGGGGGTATCCGAGAATGGTCTGAGCCAGCATGTTCTTGCAGAAGCGCGGGTCGCTCTTGGAGACGGGAATGACCATGTGCATGCGCTTAGGTTCCGCGATCGCGTCGTCGCCCTTGACGGTGCCTACGGGTATCGTATCGACGTCGGTGGCCCATGGTCGTCGAACTCGCCAGGAGCTGGTCTCCGAGTTCTGCTGTGAAGGCGAGGCGGGGGGTTAGTGCAGGCCTTGCAGGTATCACGATGAAAGTCTGAGGTCAAGGGCAAGAGAGGATTGCGAACATACAAGGCTGACGGAGACGAGCAACAATGTGACGAGGAAGGCACCGATCAGAATGAGCAATTGCCTCGGGCGCCGCGTCGGGAGCAGAGCGGCAGCGTTGTGTTGCCAGCTTTCGAAAGTCGTCATCTTGATCGCATGCTGGGGGTCGTCGGTCCGGGGAAGAGAAAGAGAAACGGATGGAGGTTACAGACAGGCAGGCAGTCGACAGAAACACGACGACGGAATACACGAGTGAAGAATCGTGCGTAGTTGACGAGTTCAGCCCCTGGATCTGTTTGCTGACGGGCGTGGCTTCGTTATCTGCCAGGGTTTGGGCGTGACGAGTCGAATGGCGAAAAGGCCAAGGACGTCTTGCAGCGATGCCACGGAATCCTTTGGTGGTAGACCCAACTTGGCGACTTGGCCGACGAACCGCGCCGCACTTGCACATCCACCACCACACAGCACTTCCCACCCAGGCTGGAACAAGGCGGGATGGAGGCGTTCCTATTTGGCGGTAGACTTTTTCCCTTAGTGGCCCGTGGGGCATGGGGCAATTACAACCATGGCCTGTGTCCCCTCAAAATCGAGGGGTCAGCTCGGTGCGAGACAGGCTGGTGGGTAAACGACGAAGGAGACGCAGGGGGGGGCCGCGGGTGGCCCGAGTCAGCTCGATGGATTTGGCGTCATATTAGGGGCGTTTGACTTCCACTGGAGAGATGTGTCGCCAGATGAGGGGGGGGTCGAGTGTGTGAAAAGGGGGATAGAGCTGCCTGGAGCCCTACAACACTGGAGACTTGGAACAGGGTCAGCAGGCCAGCAGGTGACGGGGTTGGGCGTTACGTGGGAGGCAAACCTTCGTCCGAGACAGGGACCCCTGGCGCTACCCATGGCAATCTCCACTGCTTGGAGGTGCCAGCTTACTCTCAGCTCAGCGCTTGATCGCAACTAGCTTTAGGCGCCAGCAGGTCCAGAACGCGGACAACAGAGAAGAGACGAACACCTGTCGAACAGCTCGCACGAGAAGAGAGAGGGGATGGTTCTGTTCCCACTTCGACAGGTTCTTTGGGACGACCGACGGCTGTGGACAGATGGTTCTTCCCGGTCCGTGAAACCTACTGAGGGAGAAGGATTGGGATCGATGGGCGACAAAGACGAATCGATGGCTCGATTAAGATTGGCTCCTTGGCTGATGTCTCGGCTGCCACGAGCAGGTGGATTGGTGCGAGATTGAGGAATCTGGTTGCTAAGGATTTGCCCCCACCTAGAAGGATGCACGTGCGGTGGGTGCCCTTTGTTCTGTCGTGTCACTACATTGCCTCTAGTACCTAAGTACCACGTGATGAGCGCTGCCACTCGCTACCGACCTAGGTAGGCACCCAAGGCACCATGTACTCGGTGGAAGGGTGCGCAGTGGCGCGATAAGCATCTCGATCGGCTTGGCGGGTACGGTAGGCCCGTAGGCAGGCCTGCCTCGCCTACGTAGAGAGCACAGTTTCCACACGCACTGTAACCCAACGCCTGCATCAGCCTTGCCACGGCATCAGCATCATCGCCATCATGACGCAGCCTCGATGCAGAGATGCCCAAACAGCAACGCAGCGCCTTTCAAGTTTCTGCACCACCAATCCCAAGAACTGCTACCATCGTCGTCAGAGATGGGACCATCAGCAGGCGCCCCAGCCACGGTTCATCTCTGCAAAAAAAGAAAAGAAAATGCTGACACGGCGTATGTATCGAGTGGAGTGAGGTAAAGTGCAGTTGCAATACACCCGATGAAAGAAACTGCTCCAGGACCAAACATTGATTGACCGAGAAAATGGCATCCACCAACCCATTCCGTGCTCCTCCGTCAAACATGCGGCCGCTCCATCCGAATCTGAGCCCTGAGCCCTACCGGTCATGGAAACCGGCCTCATGTCGCGGTGCAACGCAACGCAACGCCTTGTGCCTTGCTCCCAGGAACCGACATAGCAACGCCAGACCCCTGATCAGTACATGGCGTGTGAGTCGACTGGTTGAGGATTGTTATCACTAAAGGCACAAGCCTGACCACCAGGCGTAAGTCGATTGTAGGATTGTCATGAAGGTCTTGGGGGTTCCTCACAATGTGGAGCCTACCTACCCAGAGATTATAAGGCTTCCTGCATGCGACGTTTTGCTCGCACGAAACCCGTGAATGGCTCTTGTGGAAGTGAACTACCTGTTGGAACTTGGCGCGAACATGAGGAAGCAGACAGTTCACACAACATCGTGGCATAACAGAGGCTTCCTGCTCTGGGACGCAAACCTCGTTGCTTGTCATATGAGGGTGATCGCCGTGTTCGGCTGCTGTACCCGAGCCGTATATATCGGCAGGGTTTTGCCTTTTTGAGAGGACTTGATTTGGCTTCAGCGTGCGATACCTTTGATATATCCCAACTATCGACTCGGAGCTTTGAAAAGATATACTCAGTACCGGCCTCACTGCTAGACCCGCGGTAGCGTTCACTGCCATGTTTCAGGCAGGGAGTTGTGACGAACAACTAGAATTTGACAGGGAAATATTCGTGCAAAGGGTGGTTTTCCTCGAATAATGTGGTGGAAGCAATGTTCTGTCCTGGTACTGATCTCTCCTCACCTTGCTTCCAATTGTCGCGGTCTAGTAAGGGAACGCCTTCGTAGCACATCCTGGCCTCTTTGTGGCCTCGTTTGATTGAAGTAAATCTGACCGCTGGTTTCTCTGTTCATCATGTGAAAGCTGTTATTTCTGTAGAGTTTTCTCCTACGTATAGATAATTCCCAAAACAACATAGATCAAGATCCAGAATATTTTTCATCTTAATGTCGCAGAACTTAGACCTTGCAAGGTAGGTCTAAGAGCGACTCGATATACGGTAGTTCTCTCGCGGCCAATTCCTTCCCTGCTGTTCAACTTTCGTTGCGGAATACATTGGCATATTATAGCTAATGTGCTGAAACTAAGC